AATGAAAAGTCCAATGTACCGTGACAAGGACGTTCTGGAGAATGCGGGTATCGATCCCGCTACATCTTGCATGCGAAGCGAGCGCTCTACCACTTGAGCTAATTCCCCACACCTTGCAAATAAAATTAATCAGAAAACCTCAGGGTTTCAAGTAGGGTCCGTTCCAACGACCATCCAAAGACTTCTGTGCAAAGCTTGATCGTTTCTCCTTCATTACGAGACAGAAACAAGGACGAGGTGGCCGAGTGGTTAAGGCGATGGACTGCTAATCCATTGTGCTCTGCATGCGTGGGTTCGAATACCATCCTCGTCGGAAGATTTAGGTTGTGAAGTGACCTCAGAAACTTTGTCTTTGGTACTGGTCTACTATGTACAGTTGAAAAATGATCACACTGGCATCTATAAGCCTTGTCCAAGGCTAAGTTGCTTATTCTGTCAATTGTGCCATGTACTCTCATTACAGAGTAAAGAAACAAAATGTCAAAATGCATTTTGGTACTTAGTCATGCACATGGACTGCAGAGGGAGACTTGAGTACTACACCAGATTCTTAATCCGTGATAGGACAGTTAAATGACTGAGCACTACAGACAAGAACATTCTGGAGAATGCGGGCATCGATCCCGCTACTTCTCGCATGCAAAGCGAGCACTCTACCACTTGAGTTAATTCCCCACACAAGTCCAAGAAAAAGGATAAAAAAATCTCACGATTTTCAGTGAGTTGTATTCAAAAGNACATCAAAGGAGCTCTATGGAAACCCTTGACCCGGTCTACACCAGATTGTGGTACTTGTCAAAATACTCGATCTTAAATGAAAAGTCCAATCTATCGTGATAAGAACATTCTGGAGAATGCGGGCATCGATCGCCCTACTTCTCGCATGCAAAGCGAGCGCTCTACCACTTGAGCTAATTCCCCACACATGTCCAAGAAAAAAGGATAAAAAAATCTCACGATTTTCAGTGAGTTGTATTCAAAAGAACATCAAAGGAACTCTGTGTAAACCCTTTACCCAGTCTACAACAGATTGTGGTACTTGTCAAAATACTCGATCTTAAATGAAAAGTCCAATGTACCCTGACAAGGACGTTCTGGAGAATGCAGGCATCGATCCNCGTTTCTAATATTGGCAACATTTTGCAGATGAAACAAGGAAAAATCTGGAAACTTGCTTAATATGGAATTTAAATGATATATTATGGTTTTTCAAGGGTCCTAGTCCAAAGACAACAACTTTTCTCAGAATTTCAAGGCATGAAATGAACTCTTCCAGATTTTCATATCTTTAAGAGACGCCTGTGATCTGCTTAACTGGTTGTTTCCATCAGATGTTCACATCCAGTCCGACAGATTTAACGCAGAAAAAGTGGCAAAAATATCAGAAACATGTAACAAAGCATTTTTACTGAGCATTTATTGAGGAATGTCAGAAATTAAACAAAGATCAAAAAAAAATTTCTTAGTAAAATATTTTGAAAAATCGTGAATCATTTTCTTTTTACCTTGAAATTATGCTCTTCTTTGTGCGGCACGAATTCCTTTAACGTCTTTGCGTTTCCATGTCCACAGCTGCTCAACATGGTGACGGTGTCCGAGAAGCGATGGCGAGCGCGCTCAAGAGGAGCCGACGCCGACGAGGGGTTCGCGAGCGGCGACTGCGACGATGAGGACGAGTGCGCCGAGGTGTCGGGGCTGGGGCCTCCTCCAAGACGCAAACGGCTGCGGATCTTCGCAGGTCAGACACACAAACGGCACCTTCACAACAACAAAATCGGCTGGACGATAAACTGTGCAAGTAGTTGTCATGATAAATGATAATATTGGTTTTGAGGTGATATATTGATCCGTCGTACGCATTTGTCCGAAATTGGATTTCTGCGAGAAAGAAATGTTCAGCCCGGGCTAATGTTTACAATCAAGCCCACTAACTCAATCAGAGCCATTTACTTCAATGCTGGTGAGCAAGCGGACGGATCCAGAGGCGGTGAGATCACAGCCCTGGGCTCGGCAGTGGGGTGTTTACATGGCTACGGCGCACGCTGACACCAACGTGACACTTCCTCTGGTGGCCGACCTCGTTGGCGTCAGCATTCACGAAAAATGTCAGACATGGTCAGCAAAAGACGGGCAGATGATTGCTGTTTCCTCACAGACTGAGATTAAATCAGGTTCTTGTTTCAAGTCCTGAAATTACTTGTTTTCTAAATGTCAGAACAACGAGAGAGAGAAAGTTTTTAATTCCTTTACTTTCTTAAACCTTTTGAAGTTTACATAAATTTCTCTAGTATCTTTACAAAAGGGTCTAACAATAACTTTATTGGGTTTTGGTCCATTCTTCCTGACAGAACAGCTGCAACCGAGTCAGGTTTGCAGCAGAGGTGGGCAGATCGATCCAAAGCATTTTTATAACAACTGACGTTACCATGGTTACTCGATTGTGCTACAAAATGGCCCTATGTGCCTGGAAAACGCATAATACTCCCCTTATACCTTAAACTTTCAGTTAAAAAGATGCTGCATGTTTTTGTGCCTTGTATATAACCATCCTGTTTTCAGCTGTAGATGAGAATAATATTAATAATGAAAAAGATTTAAACTGCTGGAAGAAAGAAGATGAACCCAGCCAGAAAGGAGGAACGAGTGAGTTCGATTTGCCAACATAAATCCAGAGCAGCTGAGCCGTCACCATGGTGGGAGTCGTCCTCCAGTGGAGGAGGTTTGGGTCTGCCAGGCCCAGAGCGCCGGGTTGGGGGCGGCGGGAGAGGAACTGAGGGTTCACTCAGAAGGCCGTGAGAGTCCGATGCCCTCTCTTGCTTTGCTGCTGGCCTCAGCGCGGAGTCATCACACCGCCTGCCCTGACTTACAGGCTGCTGAAAGCTCCACTTTAGACTTTGATCTGATCTCTTGCGAGAGCCGTGAATTCAGGCCGTTTTGTGCATTCCTCTCATGAGTGCGTGCGTCACCGCTTTGCAGACCCCGAGGAGTCCATCCCACTAGCTGGCAGAGATAGCTGCCGATAGCTCGCGATGACTTGGCAAAAAAACGCTGACCCCGCTCGGTTTCCATTTGGTCAAACGGGAGGGGGCTGGAGTTCGAAGGTCAACCTGTGGAGCACGAGGCCTAATGGGCTCCCTGTCTGTGCTCCGCTCCTCTGAGATGGACGAGCCGGATCTAGTTTCACAAAGCCCCCGCACAAATCTAAGGCGAGGCGCACACACACACACATACACACACACACACACACACACATATGTGTTTTACATGCTGGAGTTGGGGAGGGGGAGAAAGGTAGTGGAAGCCACAATAACAGGGTGCAGACAGGACGGACACATGGCTGGGACCCTGACACAGCTTCCCTGTCAACCTGCTGACCACACCAGCGATGTTCCCAAACAGGCGCGATGATTGATCTCTCCTCGGCCATGAGCATCTCATAACTGACGCCGCTCACACACTCACACACAGATGCACACGTGCATCCCCCGCCGACCAATCAGAGCGCCCGGTTAAACATTCCCCTCAGCATACCAGGCCAGTGCAGCTATTCCAGGACGGGGGACCCCCCGTGCAGCAACAACCCCTAAAGAAAGACCTGCAGTCAGGCACTGAGCTGGGTCCTGCAGAAGTGTTCGCACCGTTTTACCTTTTTTATGTTTCGTAAGAAAGCCTTTTGCTACGTTTTTTTTTAAGGGATTTTTATTTTATTTTTATTTTTTGTCAAAATACAAAAGAATGCATATAAAACTTTACACTTTTGTATTCTACCCCTAAATAAACAATTTTTACATTTCTTTCAGAAGTTGCTTTAAAGGAGAATTTGTACGTAACTTTTAAAAATCTTACTATCAATGAGTCTGGAACGTAGTTTAGATCGAGCCTAAAAGAATCCGACCCGGCCCGAACCCACAGGCATTGTGTCTGAGCCTGATCCGACCAATTAGCTTCAATTATAGACCGGAGGCAGAGGTAAACCCAACATATTATTTCCATTGAGATTTTACTGATTTACTAACCATTTATGTAAGCAGTGGAACTTCTGGCATTTTTAGCTGTTGTTTAGGGCTTTCCAGCTCCATTTTGCTGCTTGTTGTAACCCCACAGTGGGTCAAGTGCAAATCATCTGGGATGTGTGATTGATAGGAGCGGAGCAGAGTGGTGCCACGTGCAATGCGCTGCGATTGTTGCAGTCTAGTGAACTTCTGTGCCCTACTTACGTTCTTTCTATCCTCAACAGGGTAACCTGCCTGCAGTAAGTAGATTAACAACTTTAGTGCATTCTCAGTTTTTTGTTATTTTTTTATTTTTTGCTGTGCTGAGGGTAAAAATGGCTCTTTGGGCTGCACAGGCTGCAGACCCCTGGTTTAGATCAGATCATATTCACGTACTAAAATGGTCCTGTCAAAGTCCAGACATAAATTTTTCCAAGAATTTGTGGCAAGAAAATTAATGTCTACGGACAATCTCCATCCAGTCTGAGGCATCTTGGGGTATTTTGCAAGCTTGTGCAAAACATTTCAGTCAGGAGCTGGTAGCGACATAAACCAAAGAATACTATAACATATTGACTCACAGGGACTGGTACAACAACAAAACTACTTTGTATAGCTCTATCGAATAAAATCCCAAATAAATGGCAGATTGTGGTTGTAATTTGATAAAATATAACAATGTGGTATGGACTCTTCTACAACACACATCAAACATACTGGCTGCTAAAATCTGTCATTTTAGCAGCTCTGGCGTTCTGACTCCATGGAGTCAGAACGCCATGGAGATGGTCGGATGATTTATACAAATTGTTGCTTGCACACTGTTTCAAACAAGCTGATGTAACGTCAGCTGACTCCTTTCCTAACTTTAACGTTGGGCAACTATTTCCAGATCCGTCCCGTAGCTAAAACAGGACACATCCCCCACCTCCGTCGGTGGGAATGCCCACAGAGTAATCTGTTGGTAGTGCTTGGGACTCCATTTTTTCCCCTAAATCCATTAATCTTGGATTCCACGTGCTCCTGATAAGGGCTCACCTGTGTTTCTGTGCTTTCATGCACACCTGCTCCCCGACTGTACCGCCTCTGCGGAGAACAAAAGAACACGCCACCATCCCCACAAAAAAAAACACCTCACCTCGCAGATTTCTCTTTCTCTTCATACTCTTCCCCACCTCTCCTGCTGTCAGATCAGAGATGTACTGCTGCTTCAGAAACTTGATGATTCAGAATACATTAGGCTGAAATTTGATTTAAATTGATCCTTCCCTGCGGTGGTCACATTAATCATTAGTTTCCAGGTGAGATGAACCGGCACGAGAGCGCTGAAATTGTGGGCAAAATCACTTCAGGGATCTTAGAACAGCTCCTCAGAAAGTAACTGCGTGCAAAGAGGTGGGATAATCAGTTTTTTTGGCCCTTTGCGAGAATGTTAAAAAACTGTATGTGCTGGAGTGAAGCTTTGTTTCTCAGCTCTCACCCTGACAAGCGAACAGAGCTGTTGTTCCGCTCTCGTGCTCAGACGTTCGGTCACTGAAGCAAACGCTTCTTTTCGGCGATCCGGAGCTTTTCTTTTTTTTCCTTCTTTTTAATCAGCTCCCAGTGGTCAGTGAAACCCAAAGTGGAAATATTCCTGTTATGTGAAACACGCACCTCGCGATGAGAGGCAGGGCCGGGCTCACCTTTCAAATTTTTTTTTCATTTTTTATTTTTTTTAGGCTGGAACAAAGGCGGGGAAGGAAAGAGGGAGGCGATGAAAGAACGCGGGGATAGAACAGAACGAGACAAAAACACCTTTGATACCTGCAAAGGTTGATACACTGGGAAAACCTAAACATTCCTCGACTCCGTATGTGGGTGGAATTACCACGCTACCAGTACGGGAAGCTGGTATGTTAATTAGCTGCAGCTGTCACCCCTGACCCCCACTACACCTGATGGGATAGGTGAGTCACCAGGCGCCAGTCCTGCACCCTAATGTTCGCCACATGTCTTCATCAACGCGGCCATAATTCACACTGTTGATATCAGGGGAACATGGATGTTTGTTCCTGGAGTTTTTCAGCTCTGTCTGGTTTCCCAGAGCCACACAGCTTCATGAATGTTGTTGCAGGAGACACGTGGCAGCCAGCTACAGCCTGTGTGCTGCAGGTGAGGCCTCGCCAAAGGGAGAGAGGCTCAGACAATCCAGATGTGAGTGCAGGTGTCTGAGGAGGAAGAATCTGGATGTGGGTGCCCACATGGCCTGAATCCTCTGGGGCTACACAAAAGATCCACGTTCAACTTCTGTATCAAACGTTTACCTAGGCAACACCACCAAGAACAAAGTGTTTAGATTTGTCACTCTGTCAGCATTAGACAGCATATATGCACCATGGTAATGGTTGTTTCACTCAGATTCAATTTACAACAGTGAAGTGTGATTAATAACCAAGAAAAAGCTATTTTACTGACTTAGTGCTGTACAAATTCTTAAACTTATCATGTTCAGTTTGAAGGGAACAAAATCAGAAAATGGGAAAAAAAATAAAAAGTACAGCCTTTTAGGTTGTATTGTTAATTGTTAGCTTGTCGCATAGCACAACAGTTAGCATAGGTTATAATTGCGTCGCCATCAGCACTTGTTCCTGGTTCACTGTGGTCTTCTTAAAGTTTTCTCTTCTTCACTTCTCTTGAGTAGTTTCCTTCCGAACGATGAGGTATTGCTTCACCACCTCATTGTTTTGGCTGTAGCCGGTTAACTCTG